TTATCACGTGAAATCTTTAAAATTATTGACTCTATTACATTTTGAAATCAAATTACGATTATTAGTCAAATACTTGATTCATATTGCAAATTACTTAATATATTACAATGTGATAAAGCACAGCTGTTTCAAGTAATGCATAGCATGGGTTATTTAGTTCAATTTTGATCAAATTATTCAGATACTGCATTAGCTTTATGAATAATTGACTGAATGAAAAAGCGTTAAAGAGAGTGGGAATAACCCCTTCTTTTATTATCTTATTTACTGCATCCTGAATATAAAATAGAACAATTTAACAATTCAGTTTCTAATATCAATTATCCAGAATTTGAAAAGTGGTTTATGTATATTATTATGCATGGTCTAGAAAGAAACCAAAATGTATTCTTCATGAATTTGATGACTTTTGATTAGCCAAGTATCCCTTTGATTTTAACTCATATAGACAATTTAACAATAATATTTGGCATTATTGGTGTTATGTTAGTGTTTCTACAAATGAATTGGACTTTGTGGTTTGTAGGATTTTTGGTATATATGTGAATGCTGCTTCAGTTGAAAGGCTTTGGAGTTGCATGGGATTTTTACAAACAAAGTGTCATAATCAATTAATGGTATGTATAATTTATATTTAAATATACTTTATTTAGTTTATTATATTTGTGTAAAGTATTCTAAATTTTTTTTATTGTATAGTCAACAAAAGCTCTTGCAATGAGCAAACTAAGGGCTGATATTACATACAACTATCGCCTTCATAATGATTCATTATTTACTGAATCTACTATTGATATTAATGATACTAATCAAAATTCCGATAATCCAAATAATTTAGAACATATTAATGACCCAGCTGATAATTTAGTATTAACAGAAGCGGATCCTGGTTTTGAAGAATTGGATAAAGAAGCTGATGAGTTTCAATTAGAAAAATGATTTTGATGAGAATGATAATAATACATTAGAGAATATTGCTCATCCTGCTATCGATTTTAATAGAGATGCGGAATGGATTAAATTTGCAAAATAAAAAAAAACTTTATGATTTAAATATGATTAAGCTTTTTATTTAGTTTTATAAAAGTATATAAAATAATTAATTTTATAAAGTTTCTGGTTATTACATTCTAAAAGAATAAATTTTGATCGGTATCATGTGATTATGAATGCGGACAAAATGTCCGGGACATAAAATTTTCCGGACATGGACATGGACTGTCCCGTCCCGGACGTCCAATGTCCATGTCCATGTCCCATGACAACACTGACTATAATGTTTCGATTGATTTCTTTTGTGGAATTCTATTCATTTAACATTATTTTCTGTAAAATCATTTATTGCTAAATTTGGCTTTATAATGGGTTTGGATAAACGTTTTTGTAAATCATTTACTTAAAAAATCTTGACCTAACGAATTTTGATTGTTTTAGTTGAGAAATTTGAGGCTTTTTGAAATTTTCTTTATAGAAAGAAAACAATCAATTTTAGATGATGGATAAATCTGCAATCTTAAAAGTTTATTACGAGATCGTGAGAATTTTTGCAATGGTTATTTCTATATTTAAATTCGAGAAAAAATATCTTTTTTTTGTGTGAAACGCAACGCAAACATTTTTTAATAATAAATAAATTAGGTAATCGATTTATTTAATAATTTTTTTTCCTGATAAATTTGATTTTTGTTTAATAAGCTGATATATTATCGCGATTCATCAATCATTGTGTTTCGATTCTCCCGATACACGTGGTTATAGTTTAAAGACGAGATTCCCGTAAATGAAAATTCACTCCCTGAAAGTATTCCGATTCTCTGGCATGTTATGACGTTCATCCCTAATAAAACCAAAAGGCGACAAAAAAAATATGTTAGATTTTCGGGTCCCTCCGGCTCTATTCTATATTTATTTGTAAAGGATTTGATTCTTTTTATGTTTTAAAAAAAGTCAACTTTATGATGATCATTCGTTTATCCAAATATGAAATAAAATCATTTCCAGTTTCACGAATTTTTTTTTTTTTTTTTTTTGGCCCTTAGAAGTTTCCTTAATTGATTGTTCAAAAGACTACAATACGCTACATGAAAAGTGTCCCGAGTCATTGTTTGATAATTTAAAAAGATTATCAACAAAATCTATTACTGTAATTAGAGTTAAAATGCAACCAAAAAAAAAAATTTGAGTAGCAGGAGTTGCGCAGTTTTCCAATTAAAATATTTTTGAAGTTTTAAAATTTTATTTCATATTCAAGTCGGAAGAAAGTTTTAAAAAAATAAAATCATAGTGTAAACATATTCTTATAAATGCATAGATAAAAAAAAAATTTTTTTCGAATTTTTTTTTTTTTTGTATCACATTTTTTTCGAAAGGTAAATTAATTGAAAGCGAAAGAGTGGGAATGGAGAACGGAAATATAGCGATCAAATCAATCGATCTAAAAAAAAGGGAGAACATGAATTAATCTAATCATAAAGGTTCATAGTCAATAAGATTTTTTTTTTTTTTTTTTTAAAGAAAAAGGAATTGGTTTCTAAAAAAGAAACGAGTTTTTAATTTTCAGATTTCTTATTCGCAAGGATATCAGAATCAATTGATGCCTCGGTGGAATTTGTTGACTTGTTAGGAGTAGTAACGAACTTATTTGTTATAAACGTTACAAATTTTTGTATATCGTCAATGCTCATTTTTGATAAATCCATGTTTCCAAACGATGATGATGATATGGTTTGAGTAAGACCGTTGTTCTGATAAATTGAAATGTTTGAATCCATTGTACTGAACAAATCGCGAAAATTTTAAAGAATAAAGTCATTTACCTTGAATTCATTACTAATTTCTCCGGTAACTTTCTTGAGGTTTTTAATCAACTCTTCAATTCTACCCATTTTAGAATTAATCATTTTTACAATATTTGCTGAATCTTTGCATTTGGCACACAGTCTCTTTCGTCCTGCCAAGAGAATTTGCGGTTGTGTTGCAGGTTCTGTATTCGTCCCAGTGCTCTCGTTTGTCGCGTTAGGGTCCATAATCATTGAGGGACTTGTGGTTTCTGTCGAAAGACCTTGTTGACGAGTTTGAGACCTCGTTGAATACGGAATCGAATAAGGTTCGCTTTTAATCGAACCTTTATTGGTAAATTTGGTACGGTTAACACGATTCAATGAAGAGTTATTTCTACGAGAACGAGGTTTCTTGTTCCTTGGCATCGAAGAATTAGTTTCATGATTATCAGAAGAAACCTCGATGACCGAAAAGGTTGAAGCTATAGGTTCTTTTAACGAATTGTTATTGGGATTAGGAAATGAACCTGTAGAAATTGTTGCTTCTTTTTTATTACTATTAAGGGGGAATGACTGCTGAAATCGATTATGATCAGACATATTATCTTCTTTTTTTTTTTTTATTTTATTTTTTATTTTTATTTTTTTTTACTTAAATTATAATATTACTTATCATAATAAAGTTCCCAAATTTAAAAAAAAAAATTTATGAATCCTTTATATATGACAATCATTTATTTGAAGAGTAATTTTTACGACCCGGGTAAACCTACTATTTTTATTTTACAAATATATATATATATTTATTTATTTATTTGGTTATTTATTGTTAATATCGGAGTAAATAAATCAAGGTTTACCTGATGAGTAGGTAGATATTATTATATAAGGGGAGAAAAAAATTCACCTAGCAGAATAAAGTCAAAAAAAAGAAATTTTTTTAAAATTGTGAAAAGAGTGAAAAAAAAAAACTAGATCCTAACCTCTTTTAACTTCGGTCTTTTTTTTCCGGAATCAATCCTAATCAAAATGATACGTTTAACATTGATATGATTTGAATTTCCTATTTCGTACTCCCAATCGAAAGGGGGGGCTCGCAAAAACAAGAACAATTCGAATCAGATTTAAGGATGTTTTCGCAACAAGATTATCCGTTGACGACCGAGGGTTTTCTTCGTCTTTTTTAGACATTATTGTTAAATATAAAAATAAAAATAAAAAAAAAAGGTTATCTATTATCGTTTGCTATTGTGTAAATTTTACCATTTAAGGGAATTTCTGAAAGAAATCTCTCGATCAACAATTCTTTAATCTATTTAATACAACTTAATGGGGAATAAAATGATTTGTATATTAACGTTCTATGTAGAAAAAGAGATTTCACTCGAGTATATTTTTAGAAGAAAAAAACGGTTAGGGCGTAAATGAGATGACACATTATTTATTGTTGAGTTCGAAAGGGATGAATCCCGTGTGAGTCAGGGCAGCAAGTCAAAGTTCCTTGATTGTTTCTTTAATCCGAATGAATGAAATCATACGGATCATTTAAGCGCATGTATGCACGACTATAACGGATTCATCACAATAGATTTCTTTAAGATGGTATTGAACCTCGATTTGATTTGGACAAATTACTAGACCAGCGCGATCTTTCATGGTCGAGTATGGGCATTACCGATTTTGACTCCCACACGTCCATATACCAAAATTGCTTTTATGGAAACAATGATTGAATACCGATCTTAGTCTTAGCACATAAAATCCTTTCAGTTAATACTGTACGTCTATTTTGGCGATCTGGAGTTTGAATTCCTTGGTGTTACAGTTGGGTTTTTTTTTTTTTGATATTGAACGAATCATTTTAACGGGGTTTTTTTTTAAAAAAAAATGCAGAATTTTATTAAGTAATTTTGACCCCTTAGTAAAGGGCAAGTCGTAAAAAAAAAATCTTAATGGTTTGAAAATTGATTGAGGATAAGTATGATTGAGGAAGTATAAAACATTCTTACAAAAAGATGAGAGAAAGGATATTTTTGTTTTTTTTTTTTTTTTTTAGGGGAATTCAAGATTAAATAAAAAAGAACATCATAGATTGAAATAAAATTGCAAACTTAGGTGATTTCTTAATCGAATTTCCAGAATTGTTTTTAAAAAAAAGTTTTTGCCAATTTCTTATCGATTTTGCCAGCAAAACACATTTCCTTTGATATATACCTAAATTTAATTATAAGGATTAAAGGCTTGAATAGCATTTGGTTTAACGCAACCGCTCCCATTCATTGTGTTGGTTATGGCCGACACGACCTTTTGTAATTCTTCCAAGCTATAATTTGAAAAATCACTACTTGTGAAATTGGGAGGACTTGAGAAGACTTGAATTGGGGAAGGAAGAGGAGTCGGTAATTGCAAAGGTTGGGTTACGAATACCTGTGAGATCAGGGAAGGGGGTTGTCGTTCCTGCTATTAAGTATACAAAGAGAGGGAAACGTTAATTTTCTAATTATCATGAAAGAGAAATAAAATGAATCTTTTAACCAATTTTAACCTTGATCAAAGTGTTATTATTATTTACATTCATCGCACTTTTTTCGGTAGTTTTCACAATATTCTTTACTAATTCTTCCAATCTATGGATTCTTGAACAGACCAACTTGACGCACCTATTTGATTCCTTACAACGTGCACAGGTTTTTTTGATAGTAGGCTTAATCTCAAATTCGATGTCATTTTCCACCGGAATTGTTGGCATTGTAACTTGAGGATAGCATAACTTATTTTCGTACGAAAAGTAGTTATCATTTAGTCGATAGTCGGGTGTTACCTTCGCTTTATGAACTCTTTGATAGTTACTTTTTTGTAGTCCCCTCGTGTGATATTTAACGGGATTGGGTTTTGTCATTGTTTTATTTTGATTTGATTTGATTTTTTTAGTTTTTTCCTTGTAAAATTTTTCTTTTTTATGTTTAAGGGAAAAAAAATCGATTAAATTTCGAAAACGAAAAACTTATAAAAAGCGCGTATTTATAACAAATTTTTCTCATATATGCTTATCAATCCCAAACTTCATTGTGAAATTTTCGGAATTTATATTCCGGCAATAGTTTAAAAAAAGTGAGATTATTATTTTACTTACACGGTTCCGTTTTTGGATTTCACAAATCAACGGACAATGTTTGACATAGTATTCGTCACATTTCAATTTGCTATCTCTTTATTGTATTATTTAGTGTCAAGAAAAGGAAATGTAAATAATTTAACACAAAGATACTTTTTTTCTAAAAAATAAAAAAATTGATGATACCCCACGTACTTTTTTTTTATTTTTTTTACGTAAACAATGAGAGGATTCTGCAGGGGTAAGCTAAACAAAAAAAAAATGCCTCCTCAAAAATTTTAAACTTTTTTTTTAAAATATTCTTCATTATAAATTTGCTAAAATGGGTAACCACCTTGACTAAAAATAGAGAGGAAGCTTTATTCCTAATAAAAAAAAAGGGACTCGTAAAATACAAAACGTTGAAAACTAACCAAATTAACTGGATTCTCGACCCTTTTTATCGTATGACCATTTAGTAACGCGTTTTATTTACGGAAAGATAATGAATGAAAATCATTCGAGATCATCGTCGAGATATCTGTGTGCGTGATTAAAAATGTTCCTGATGTGATTCAGAGAATTGTAGCAGTTCCCGGCAAGGTCGTGCTCAATGTGTTCCGTTCCGCCTAATGAACGAAATTGATTAGGATACAAGGAAGAAAGTAATTTTTAATTTAACAAAGTAATCTTTTTGTCATTTAAATTCAAACGCCCTTGTGACCTTTAAAAGAATTCGTGCAAATAACTAGTATAAGTTTTGTTCATTATTAAATTCGAATCTTTATTGATTGAATTCATTCGGAATTATGAAAAAAAAATTTTTTTTTTTTTTTGTCCTCACCATACTTGAAAAATTGCTGCGAAATCAATTACAACGTGTAACAAAGAAGTTTACAAGATCTTAAAAACTGGAAATAATAGAAACTAGTTTGGTAAAATATCAATGAAAAAAAAAATTGCGTCATTGCATTGACAAAGCTCGTTACGTAACACCTTTTAACTGTTTCTCAACTTTTTAATTCTTTATACGGACTTTGATTTGCGAAATGAAATAATTGTTGAACCCATTTATGAATTTTAAGGTAGTATGGTGTACCATTATCGTTTTAAAATGGAAATATAAATGTTGAAACGTTTCCAGAGATAATAAATATTACCGAAGTTTTGGATGTAAGACATATCGTGTATTGTTATGAACTTGAAATCACAAGCAATTTCTTTTTTTCTTTTTTAAAAATAAAATAAAAATATCACCCCGCAGGATTTATTACCTACAAAGTACTATGCTTGGTAATATTTTTCAAAAGACTGGGGCTAATTGTAATTTAAAACAAAAAAAAAAAATATTTTTCAGCCTAAAAAAATTGTCATCATTTTTAACTTTGTTTGGGTAGAAGGTTTATATAAACATCATGAAAAATGATTCAAATTAGATAGACATATCATATAATTAATAACTTATTAAGTAGCACAAAAGTCATTAAATCTCTATTTTTGTCGATCCAAAAAAAGTACCATTGGGGAGAACAAAAAAGGAGTTTAAAAAGGAAAAGGGTCACAAATTTCGCGAGAAATTTATCCCACTTTCATCAAATCTTCCCGGGAAAAAATTTACTTTACGTAGATAACAGATGTGTCAAAGGGGTCTGGCCACATTGAAATTAAATTATTGTTTTGTGCACTTTGGGAGGCGCTTTTCCGATTACCCTAACTCCGAAAAGGGTGATCCGCGGCTCAGTTATTTTCTCAATTTGTAAAAGAGATTGTATGCGAAATTATGTAATGATGTATTCTCTTTCGGAGTCTGGACCGTTTTTACTGGGGAGCAAACAATTGGATTCAAATTTATTCACTCGTCTTTATACAACAATTAATTTTAATTACTTTGACACGCAACTTCACCTATATATCAAACTCGTTTTCAATTTTAAGCCCCAAATGAAGCTAGTAAAAAATCAAGAATCTTTGTAATATTTGGGAAAAAAGAATGAGATTTCACAAGATTTTTTATTTCATTATTTCCGTTATAGCAAAATAGATATAAATGGTTTTTCTTTTTGCGAAGCTTTATTTGATTTTTTATTTGTGGTTGAATGCAACGTATATCTTCGATCAGATTTTTAAATTTACAGTAATTATCTAACCCGATAAAATTAATTGAAAGCACACGGTTAATTTTACGTTCGGGTACAACCAAATTTATACGTTTTGAAAGGAAAAAATGTATGCGCACAAAATGCTTTCATCTTTAGTCCGTCTTGGAAAAGAAATAATAATCTATTCCCTTTCAAAAAAAAAAACTCGTCTTTTTTTTAAAAAAAAAAAAATTCGGATAATATGAGCCACAATCATATCATATAATGGAAAGAGAGACTGTGTAAAAAAAAAAAAAAAACAAACACTTCCAAGACGGGATTGTATAAATGGAATCTTTAGTGTAACATTTAAAATATTTATAACTGAGGCTTTTATGATAAATAATCCTTTTTCTTTTGGTGCTTGGATTTTTTTTGTTCATGAGTCGAAAAGAAGTACTTATTCAATGACGCGTCAAATTCATTCATGTCTCAAAATATCACAACATTCCCGACGCATAATCGTACTTCTCATTTTCTTTACCATTGGCATATTTTCGGACAATACGCTGACGATTTATGAAGATTCATTAAATGGACCATTATATCCGATTAACGCAATAACATTTAAAGATTCGTCGATATTAACCATTCGTTTAACAAATCAACGTTGTGAACCAGGGGGGATTACAAGGAGAGTGTTTGCGTTGAGATCACTATACCCCAATGGAACTTCAATTCATGTTAATTTGAATTTCGGATTTTCGGAATTTAATTTTTGTCCCACTAATAGAATCAGTATATTCACGTTACCTGGTGAGGATTTCGGTTCATCCGATAGATGATCACGTAATTACTGGACATGCTAACCTTAAAAAAATTTTTTCTTTAGATAATTTGTTGTTGATAAGGTATTTGAAATTATTAGATGAACCTCCAAATCGTGTAAAATTCATGGGTTTGATCACGACGCTTGATGGACATATAATCGATCCGTAAGTATCATGTTCTCTCTTTAAAGAGGAATGTTTCAAGTCGTGTATTAAATTTTGTTATTTGAGCATAGCGAAGTGGAATTGAGTGATCAAGTGAACCTAGAGATGATTGCATCATCCCCGTCAGATATAGCAACGATTGTAACAACCCATGATATTAATAGTGGAGGATTATTATTTGTGATATCGTATGATAACCGTAGTATAGTTTGGAGAAGATTTGGTTGGGATCGTATCGGGTAATGTGAGATCTCAAGCTTGGCACTCTCTTTGATGTGTTCCGTTGTTGAATTTTTAATACCCTTTTACGTGTAAATTTAGGAAAAGGTTGCATAACATGTCGGAGGGGGTGATCACACTGCCGATGCTATCATCAGTATCATATAGAATAGATGCATTTCATACATTCAAAACATTAGATGGAGGATACGGCCTAGTATACTCCATTTCGTCAATAAACCCCACATCAACATCTCCATCGTTCTCCTCGTCATCCACACATTCTCTAGTCTACATAACCCTTCTCCACGAATCGCCACTCACTTGGTCATCACCCGCAATAATCTATGCATCATCATTGGCAAATGTACGAATCTCTATAAGGTCATGTACACAATCAATTGACAAATCATTAGGATATACATGTTTTATTCGTGAACAAAATGACATTACATTACGATATTTTATCAAAATAATTGATTTTTTAAGCATAGGATCCATACAATCCTTTCAAGAGTTACCCGGTTTTGAAATAAGATCGGAGAGAAGTGGGAATGTTGTTATTATATACAATGACGTGTTACCACTAAGTCATGGTGGATTTGTGATGATTGGTACTAGGCAAGATGGTTTTCTTCAAGGAAGTGTATATAATTTGGTTGAAGGGGAAGGGGGGAATGTTAAGAAATATGATAGAGGAAAAGATTGGGGGATTCCATTAATGAGGGGGATATTGTATGATGTATTAAATAATAATACATTATGGACCGCAATACCTGGCGAAGATGGTTCCGGTAGATACTGGTATATTATTAGCAATGATATAGAGATTGACATTAAAGGGGGTAAGTTGGTTTCTATTGAAGAATTTGTTGTTGGAGAAAAGCAAGAATACTAATTTTCTCTCTTTTTTTTTAAAAAAAATTTCTATAGATGTAGGATACAATAACAAACTAATAATTAATACAACACCACCAATTAATGCAACCATACCGATAAATTTGTCAACAATAAGGATAAATTATAAAGATCCCATAGTATTATCAACGGGAAACATATCAATCTACCAAAGAATGTACGACACTAGTAACATAACTGAATTAAATGCTACCACGCCATATACAGATCTGTTGAGACAATCGTTTTCAGCATCATTAACGGATTTTGTTAGTACAAGGATTTCCGAAGTAGAAGTAAAAATATTGACTTCGACATTTAACCAATTCAATTCGAACTATTATATTGAAATTGATGACAATTTTGTTAGAAATAAAGAATTTAATGAACCTTTAATCGGTATTAAAGGCGGTACTTGGAACGTTAAAACTAATAACCCGGATAATCAACAATTTACCGGTGAGTGGAAGAATGCAAAGGTTTGGTGGGGTATGATGATATCCTTGCTAAATATCATCTTGTCGAATCTCTCTAGATAATAAGAATGTATTATTACGGTTGGATGAGATTGGAACACAATACTTTAATAACTTTTCATCCCCAGAAAGAAATCAATTCTTCGATGACTTATTAATCGCATTTTCACAATTGATACCGGTACCTCTAGAAAGATTACATACATCGAAACGGTTCCAATATGATAGTTCAAGAGATGATTTACTATTTTTACCAGTATTAATTCAGATGCGATTAATAGCCACGAGGAATAAAGAAGAAATGAACACGGAAATGATTCTTAGTGATATGAATACTTTAGTTAAGAATAAATTAATTACTCAATTAGTTAATTTCGAAAATACTACCGCTTTATTGGATCCCGACTATGGTGTAATGGAAATAAGTGAGTCTTTTTTTTTTTTAAAAAAAAAACAAGTCGAGTCAAGTCATTTTTATTGAAATTAATTGTGATTTAATTTAGAAAATCTGTGGACAGTATATAGATATGAAATAGCAGGGATCATTTGCACCTTTTTTGTTCTCTTTGTGCTAGTGTTCCTTGCTCATAATTCATACCCTGAGGTGATTTATTTGATATTAATAACTTATTCAAGCCTGATTTTTTTTACTTAAAAATCATTTTCCTTTTTCTTATAGGGCAACAGCATGTCGTTGTTCAAATTCATCGTGATATTAATAGACTTTATCATGGACATCTTGTTCTTATTTTATAATGTTCAAGATGTGCCATATTTGTATATACCAAGGTATTTTTAAAAAGAATCATTCAACCGATCTCCTTATAATTCATCATACTAACTTTTTTTTTCAATCCCATTTGCAGTCTTGTTATATTGTTGGCACCATTATCAGTAAATTTTTTTACAGCAATGTTTGTATTTCTCGTAGAATTTCTTGGGAATAATACTTTATTTCAAATTTTTGCTCGCAATAATGCATTAACGACAACGATACTTCTTGTAATGGGTTATATTGATTTAGTATCGTTAGAATTATTAAGTTCACGAGTAGCAAATATTCATTCATTAGATGCTCCTTTTAGCGATTCTTCTGCTAAATGGATTTATTTTGGTAGTTTAATTGTTGTAATATTAGAAGATATACCTCAATTGGTGATCCAAGTAAGCATTTTAGATCGAGTTTTGATTGATTTAATGTCTTTATTTAATTAGATTTTTTTGCTTGATTTAAGCTGATCTGTGCTTAATTCTCTATCCTTTTATTTTGGTAGATTCTATATTTAAAATCCGTCATAATTTATAAATTTATACCATTATTGACATTAATAACTTGCTCGTTAATAATCTTAACAAACGTAATCGGTAAAACGTATGATTGCTGTAAGGTAATATGTAATCGTTATTACGATTCTTCAACAGATTCAGAAGATAATCCTAATGAAGGTGGTGGAAATCTCGGCGGTGGCAATTATAGTGGGAATAATAGTGGGAATAACAGTGGGAACACTAGTACCCTTTCAGGTAGGGATTATTTAATTGGCGGTCAACAGGCAATACAAAACTTTAATAGATGGTGGGAGGTTGGCAGTGGTAAGTCAAAAAGAAACAGTAAAGAAGCGAAGAATGGAAAAGGGAAGACTAGAGAGGAAGAAGAGGTTATAGAAGGAAGTGTTGTTGGAGGAAGTGGTGTGGGAGGAAACGGTGTGGGAGGAAGTGGTACGGGATGATGTGATGTGGATCTGGTGGTGAGGAAATGGCTGCCGCTTTTAATGTGGTGTTATTCTAGCGGAATTAGATTAAAAAAGGAGTTTATTTTATTAGATTAGATCGGCAATCATATAATATTTATAAATTTTTTTTTTTATTCAATGGGTCATAAAATACATAATGTAAAATGTAATGTAAATACAATTTGATACAAAACAACTAAAAAAAAAAAATGAAATGAAATAACAAAATTTTCAATATACAAATCAATTAAGTCCTCCAGCATAAGTTTTAACATTTTACTTATTTCTCATTCACTTCCTTTACTCCTTTCGATTGACTTTCATGTTCATCTTTCAATTTGACAAATCTTTCCCTGTACTTTCTTCTTGCGACTATTAATGACCAAACTCCAAGGCCTAATATAACAAAAGCTCCTGCTAAAGCTCCTGCAACTATAACACCAGGTTTCACTTTCTTCTTATCATTGCTATTGTTGTCATCATATTTACCATCACCATCTTTAGCATTGACTTTATTTCCATTGATGTCTTTACTATCACCAGTGAATTGCATTGGCACGCAAGTTCCGAAATCATTTTTTGGTAGACCAAAAGTACTTTCATCACATTGTTGTTCCGTTAAAATTTCAACATCCCCAGTTTCGGCGAATTTATCGAACCACCTAACATAATAATCCTTTTGATATGATGGATATTGTATGGCTATTAAATCCTGTAATACTAAATCAGGTCGCGACGGAGAAGTTTCATCCCAATCATTATGAGCCATTTTATTTAACAACTTGCGAGTACGGAACAATCTTTTTTGGGTGAGGAAATTCGGAAGTTTTTCTATCGATGTTTGATATCCAAAGAGACGTTTCCACGCATCAAGCGTATCATTTGGTGGGGTAAGTTCTGATAAATCGATAACAATGTACGCGTCGTTAAGCTCTTTGTGTAAATCAACGACATCAACATTCGACATCATGCTGATTAAGGGATAGGCGGCTATAAAAGAGTAACAATTTAAATCAATTAATGATTATTAAAATTTTTTATCAAGTTTTTTATTTTTTTTTTTTTACACACCTGCATCCATAGTAAGGTTTGAGTAAAATAAAGAGTGTTTTATGGTGAAAGTATTATCACTCTCAAGAGATACCCAAGCTATAGTCTTTTTCGTTTTATTTGGCACTTTAGAAACATTGTCAACGTGACATAAGTAATTATTTAAAATTTGATTGTAAGCTTCATTGGCGACGTCCGTTTTATTAAAAAAGAGCGAGATAAATTTGATCCATTCAGCTCCCTAATTTTTTTTTATTTTTAAAGGATCATTGAAAAATTAGAAATTTACGTAAGCGAATGCGCTCTTTCTTGCACGCATACATACATACATACATACATATACATGAAAGTAAGCATATACATACACGTATAAATCAGAAAAGAAGATAAACGGAATCTTACTTTTAATCCTTTCGTTTCCTCATCGATGAAGATCGACACGAACTTTCCTCCCGTTATTGAAGGACTTCTCTGAAATATGACATCGGTACCGGCCATTTGAGCTGTATTCGCAGGGCTCAATTGTTCATATAGATCATTATGCTTTTGCAGGCAAGGAGAGGTGATCGTCTTCTTATCGAGAACGTATTTCAATTTTAATTCTTCTCCTAAAATCTTTATAAAAATGACGAACGTTGGTCAATGTAGTCTTTTTTCTTTCTTCTTTCTTTTTTTTTTTTTGAATTTTTTACCTCTATAAATGAAATAATTGAAGGATCATAAACTGCGACATTTTTCACGGGAACTTGAATATAACTCGTGGCGTCAGCAGGAGCTCCAGCAGGTTGTGCTGCGGTACAATACAGGACGTAAGTTTCAAGGAACTTTTTACTGGTGACGACGACATAAGTGTCGTGATACGTCACATCAAAGGCTCTTTTTCCAACTAGACGTAAAAAAAAATAAAAATAAAAATAAAAAAATTTAACTTTTTTTTTCTTTTAAATCTGTAAATAAAAATGAAAGGTTTAATTACCTTCAGTATTAAAAGTAATCTTATTAGGAAAGTAGTCAAAATTCTCAATAGGCGCATTGAGACAATCAGATAAAACGGGACGTGTCAAAGAACATAATATTGAAAATACCAAAAGGCATTTATAAACATCAAAGCTTATCATATTCATTAAATTTTTTATCAAAAAATATATTTTTTTTTTTTTTAGAGCAAAGGGAGGATAAAAAAAAAAAAATTTTAACCTCAACAAAGGTTGAAGGAAAAAAAAAAAAGAAATTGTCTAAACAGATGAGATTTATATGCCATAAACGATATTACTACTTTAGACAATACACCATTTTTTTTGTTTACTATCAATATAACCATAAAAAATTAAGATTTACATTATTTAAAAAGTAATAGTAGATAAGTCATCAACATCTACAATTTTTTAAAGTTAATCCGTTGTTTGGACACCAATCAATTATTACTAGTAGTACATTGCTTTTTTTTAATGAAACTTTTAAAAAATTTAAAAATAAAATATTTCGTACAACGCTAATAAAGTTGATATGTTGTTATCTCGTGTTGTATATGACCCTGAAGATTACGATTTAACGTTACAAGGAAGAAGTCAACATCAGGTAACTCGGAAATGATTCGTCCAGAGTTACAAAAAAATCAACGGCTCAATCCTATAATTAGCCAAGATGAATGCAAATCAGGTTTCACGCACAGACATTTGACAAAGCTAATGGAATGATATTCATGTTTTCAAAGCACAATTATAAACTAGTTACATAGATTTCTCGATTTTTAGGAACTGATCGCGGAACGGATGATAAAAATGGAAGGATCGGTAAACGGGGCAATTGCATGGGAATAAAAAAAAGAGGAATCATTTGAAAAATTATATGCTGAGACTTATCAGCGAGATGGGAAGACCTCAACAAGCAGATTCGTTTATATCTTGTAAATATAGAAGAATTCGTTAATTGCTCGTTTTTAAATAATTATCTACATTTATTTTTTAAAATGTGGCATACATGGACGCTTTGCAGTAGAAAGGGAGGAAGGAAACTACCAAAAAAAATTTTTTTTGAGTTAATGTTAAATCTGGATTTATTTTACTAAAAAAATAATATTTGCTCATAAAAATTTTTTTTTGGTAGTTTCCTTCCTTTTTACCGCAAAGCACCCACATATGTCGAAGAGAAGTAGTATGAAGTACAAATGATAATCTGCTATTAATCATATTTTCATGTTCATGTGATTCCAAAATTTTTTTGAATGAATTTTACATCGATTCCCGTCTCTGAAATTAAACTTTTTTTTTTTTTTTATATATTTTAATTAAAAATATTTTACGCGATTGACAAAATCAAATTAAACAATAGAATTATCATCATTTCACGTGATCCAGGATAAAAATCTACCGCGTCCGTTCAATGAACTCCGAAAATTTTGTTTCTTTCATTCATATAATAAGATTACAAATAAGGATAGATAAAGTTTTTTTTTTTTCAATGAGAACTTTTTATTCATTCGAAACATACATTATCTGTATCATCTATAAAAAAACTTTCACTTTGTTCTTAATCAGGGAGCATTTTCTTTATAATGCGGTTCAAAGAAATAAATGATCATTTAAAAAAACTTAAAGTGGACCATGTTGAGAAAATTTTTTTCCTTCTTTTTCAAATTTAGAATGAAACCGGATAAAAAAAGAAAAGGCAGATCAAATGGCAATTGATGGAATCAATCATTACAATCATTTATACAAATCAGTTTATATTATAAGTTTTCGTTGAAGTTTCGTTAATTTGTTCAGTTAACAAAGAAATATATTTTTTTTCTTGGATTATCGTTTTTTTTTTTGTCATTATATACAGTATATATCGTAAGGCTCAAGATGTTTAGATAACCGGCTCCAACTTATTTTGTAATTATTTCTTGAAACCTAGCCTTTCTTAGAAATTGTTGGTAATAAAAGTGCAAGTACTAAAATATAACCAATACTTTATCTAACAAAGTAGATTCATGGAAACAATATGCAAAGCAAATGACTCCAAAAAGACAATAGCAATTCAAACGATCTTTTAAATAAAACAAATAAAATTCATACAGATTTATTTTAGCGTATTATGAGGAAATTTCATTGTGAAGTTTATTACGTAATATTTGATCACGGCTTTTTTGACTTTAAATTATTTTATTGTAAAACTTGGACGATTTTAATTATTAGTTGGACAAATATATATATATATATATATATAATCTTTATAAACAATATTTGGTTTTCGAGCAGAATCTAATAACGATAACCTCTAAAATTTAAAAAAAAAAAAAAAAGATCTTTATTAAAAACAATCTGATATAGAGCCCACGGATTCGTGCAGTGCAAAAATAAAAAATGTGCATTTTAAAATTACAAAAAATGCAAAATATGCAAATAAAAAATTTTTATATAGTTAAAAATATATTTTATTATTTTATTGATTATTATAATATAAAAAAATTTAATATTTCAAAGAAAGTTATCTACGTCTATCATCTAAAATTCTTTTATAATTAAAACTTCTGAAATAAGTAACCATATATAATACATATAAGATCACGTGAAAAATGCAAAAAATAATAAAATTGCCTATGCATGTGTTATGCGAAATTATAGTGCATAAATACTCTAATATGATAGTATGAAAGTTAAAAATTTTTTTTTATGAATTTGGAGAATTGGGCTTTGTGCATGCTTCAAAGGCTGAAAATTGCTATTTGAAAGGAAAGTAACAAAAGACATATAACCAATTGCAACATATACCTACATTTTTTATTTTATTTTTTATTTACCAATTATATTTATCAAGTATAATTAATATACAAAATAAAGTCAAACTTCTCAACATTTTTATAAATTATTTTCTAATGATTATTAGTAAATTTAACAAGAAAGAAATGAAAATAGTTACATGTATTATTTTAGGAATAAATAATCGATATTGTTTTTTATACCAATGAAAATTTCTTGTTTAAAAATTTATTCTTAATTTTCTTCCTATAATTCCCTACACATAATTGTCATTATATTAACAATTGCGAATACAATCATAAAAATAATAGTTTTGAGTAACGTAAGTTTACATTGATAGATTACTTTTTAGATAAATTTGAATTTCTTTTCTTTTAGAAATATAAATGTAGAATTTCTTATTATTTTTTATTTTTTAATAAACTATAAAAATTTGAAAATATAAAATCATTAAATCATCTTATATAATCTTCAGCAATTTAATAATAATCATTCATTCATGAATTTTTTATGTTAGCTAGTATTAAGGATTAATTACTTCTGAATTATCCTTTTAATTAGAATCTAAAAAAAAAACATGATTGATAACTATACTTCATAAATTCTGTTATAATTATAATGATAAATTTTATACAAAATGAGTAAGGAAAAAGTTGATAGAATATATAAATAAACTTGTATAATTTACTTTTTTATAATATTATTTAAAATATATTAACTTTTGTCATTTACTAATTTATAACATGTATTCACATAAAATTGAATTAAAATAAATGAGAAAATATTTTTTAATATAAGCTGTTCTTTGTTTTTTTAGAGATATTAAAAGTCCTATGAGATTAGATCCTAAACAGTCCTTTAAAGTCTAGTCTAATTCAAAGTCTTTTGAACTATAGGACTATGTTCTAGAATCGCAGTTCTAGGATCACAAATCTTAAATTTCTATAGGATCACAATTCTAAAACTGCAGTTTTAAAACTTGATCCTAGAATCCAATCCTAAGATTTAAGTCTTATAAACTAGGTTTTTTTTAGAACTGGAAGTTTCAGAATTGGATTAGGATCAAACTGAATTTTAACATCTCTAGTTTTTTAAGTTGATTTTTACTATAAATAAATTGAATGTTTCTACAATTTATTAGATTACCATTAACATTCAATTTTACTTTTTTGCTTTTTTGTCTACATTATTGATATTTCTTTATAATCACCAAATCATTTTTTTTGATTACTAATCTTTGGAATATCTGTACTATTTGTCAAAAATTTTTATAGAAGCTTTGTCTCTTTATTTAACAACAGTAACTTTTAAAATTTCAGATGAGTCAAGTTAATTCATAAGTCAGATAAGCTAAATCAAATTTAAATCAAGTCAAGTTTATATTTTTTAACTTAATAATTTGTAAGTCAAATTGAGTTTGAGTTAAGTTAAATATTTAATTTAACTTAATTTAAATTTCAACTTAAACATGACTTGATTCAAGTTGACTTGAAATAGTATTATCAATAAATTAACATTTTAAAACTAAAAATTATACATTATAATAATTAAAATACTTTATAATTATTAAAATATATTATAATAATAAAAAATTCAAATTTATTTTATTAATTTAAATTATTAATTTTAAATTTCATTATAAAATGATTTTCTAAATAATAATAAACTATTGAAAATCTATTTTTTAGAATATTTAAATTAAAATGTTTTAAAAGAGCAGATCTTAATAAAATGATATAATTGCATTTAACCTCCAATATAATTATAATATCTATCTCACTCAAAATCAAATCTCTACCTTCAAAATTTCCAAAAATTATTATTATATAAAATCTTTATAGGGATCAGTAATGCCTTATCTTATTAAATTTAATTTATCATTTTCTTCTAATATACTTAAATTTATGGCAAAACTTTTAAAAAATGATAAATTAGTTTTAATATCTAAAAAATCTATATTAAAATTATCATACAATTCAGAAAAATTAATTTTAATTAAATCTTTAATTAAATATTCTAAATATATAATCAATAGAAATATTATATTATTTAAATAAAGATAAAATTTAAATATTTTTTTCAGATTTTAATACTTCTTAAAAATGGTTTTTTTAATATCTATCATTATATCAAATTCTATATTATTTTTAAAATAATTATATAAATTATTACTTTTTTTTTAATTTGTTAAAATTAAAAAAATGATTTAACATATACAGTCAACTCTTGATACAACGAATTTTGATATAACGAATTTCACAATACAACGAATCTTTGGTGTGGTACAG